TTTCTTGGATCAAGTAAATTAATTATTTGGTACAGGGCCTTCTAAGAAGGCCCATTTAAAATGCGTTAAAGAGATGAATGCATTTTAAGAGCCAGCAGTCTGCAGTTCCCTTTCATAAAAAAGTATCTTGTAGTCAGCATCAGAAACCGTCCACACAGAAGATCAGCAGGATGAGGTCTGACATCGAGGGGAAACCTCTACTGCAGTGCAGGTCCTTAAAGGCTCGGAGTAGCACCCAGTCAGAATTGCAATGCCTGAGCTGGCAGTAAACAAATCTACAATGATCTCCCTCCAAAATTTTTAGGTTAGAGTGTATCTGAGGGGACACTATAACGTAGCAGTTACGACTTTTTTACAACTAAGAGGGAGGTATGATTGAATAGCAATAATGCATACTTGCACACATCAAAATGGAATAAGAAGTATGTCAGTCACCTACAGGGATTACTAAAGGGACCAAATTTTACTGGTAAGATAAGTCATGGCAGACTGGACTTGGGGGACCCCTATTCTACTGCAAAATGTGACTTGCTCCTGCTGAGAAAAGGGACTTGCAGGCTTTCCCTGTGGGATGAGGTGGAAGGGGCAGAAGGGGAGCCATGCAGGAGAAGTCTGAATAATCTCATCATCTGCTTGTGCCCAGAGGGAAAGAAGCGAGCACCATCTTTTGCACTACATCAGAAAATTCTGTGCCCCAGGAGAAGATGAGGACCTCGAAGCATGTGGCTCTAACTCCTGCTGATCTTTGTGGGGCTCCATAAATAATCCACAAGCACAGGAGGAACCGTACCTCCCTGCAAGGGAGACTGTGAGTGAGCATCCATCAGGAGACCCTCACTGATGTTTCCTATCCATTTTACTCAGACCCAAATTCATGACTGTGTTTTAATTCCTATGATATACAAAATGAGGTCTTTCTCTATGATAAAATTATAACAAGTGGTATAAAAATAACAATAAAAATCTAAATTAAACATCAGAATTGGCATAAAACTTCAAACTTGAGCAACTTCAATATATACATGTATACAGCCACAGCCACAAACCCATTTACTGAGATGAACAGCCACGTGCAGCAGAATGCTGCAGTTACAGCACAGTGTTTCAAAAAGGATAGGTGGGGAATATCAGTCTATTTCCAGCTTGTTTGGAACAAACAACCTACTGTCTGTGAACACCTACTGTCGGTGCCATGATCCAGTGACCGTGGATGCAAGCCACATGGCAGGCAACCACTGTTTGCAGGATCAGGGTCTGTGATGTTTCCCACAAGGTTTTGCATTATTGCAGCAAATAATTTCAAGAATGCTCGCTGTTTAAATACCAAAACACAAGTTGCCACCTAAGAACATTAAATAATGAGGGTAAAATAAGTAAAAGCCAAAGTCAATGTCTCTCTTTTAGCAGTTCTTCTAATTACAAAACCAGTGGTGTATAAACAAGAGACCATATCCCATTCCTTCAAAATCTCTGCAGCTTGAAAATCTACAGCAAAACCTCACAAATTATAGTTTTGATCTATTTTGTCATTGTTTTTAACAAAACTACAGGGCAAGAAGCTAATTTTCATAAGCGTTTTGAAAAGGGATAGGTCTCTCTAAAGTGGCAATGTGCCCTTTAGGAAAGTAAAAAGAGAGGCACAGTTTACTTGTGACTTGATAGAAATAAGCATACGACATTCTGTTAAACGCTGTTGGAAAATATATATACTGGACTTATAAATAAATACACATAGGTAAACGAAGCAATATGTAGATGTGTAAAAGTATTACTCAGAGTAAATCTTTTAAACTAAATGACCGGGCACAATATGTCTATACATTCATATTTAAGTCTGATAAATGTATCAAGTGCTATACACTTGAATATTTTTTATATCTTCAGAGGTTGTTAAATAGCTCATGTCTGATTTCCTTCAACAAAGATTCAATAGAAGGATATTTGATTTGAGATTGCATATTCAGTTTTCTTGTTTTACCCAATACATAACATAGGGAAGAACTCTATTGTATGCCTGGATTGGGCTACAAACAAATGAAAATATCATAATTCAACAATGATATGAGTGATACAGGCTAAGAATTTCTTGTGCACAAGGCTAAACACATTTTTGCTCCCAGATAAACACAAAAAAATGGAAATAACAAAAAAACTGGCATCAACAGTACATTAAAGTATGATCAGAGATATTCAGCTGAGCTCTACACAGCCTAGTCCTGGGAACAGTCTTGCTGCCTTACTGTCGTACTCAGATTTCTACAGCTGACAGAAGAATGACTGATGAACCATAAAAAAAGATGTATGATGTGCGTATATGAAAAAGAAATTATGACTAAGATTAGATGCATTGGCAAACCTTCACCTTCACATTTTTAAATATATTGTGCTTTGCAGTAGAGGGAAGTTGTGACTTCTGAGGTCAAAATCAATTCTTTTTGGCACATGTTTATCTGATCTGATATTTTTCTAAGAATGCCCAAAGTGTCATGAGCTAGCTATGCTTCCAACACACAGAAGTTCAAAATATGGTTAAACTCACTCCTTGAAGATTTGGAAGTAGAAATCATTTGTTGAAAAAAACAAGCCTTCTATCAAGTCACAATCATAAAATCAGGCATAAAACAAACAGATCATGGGAATGCCTTCATTCTGGTCAAGGATATAAGGGTTAAATCCACATATTTGTAAGATGATTGAGAAAACCTACTGGAAGCATGATCAACCCAAGGCCGCCACCACAGCTTTTTTTTGCCCTTGGCTTTCTCTTTGTCTGCTTCTCCTAAAATAAAATATGTCCAAATATTAATTTTACAAAATGAGAAACATGTTTCTTATACTGATTAATAATTTTTAATTTCTCTCAAAAGAGCTAAAATTTCATGAGTACATCAGATGTCAGATCTACTGAACACATTCAATATTAAAATAATTCAGAAGCATGACCACTAAGCAGAAATACTCTGGTTTACGCAGCAGTTAAAACGGCATTCTACTCTAAAACAGCTAAGAAGTTCAGTTTTGTGTTTTAAAACATACAGTCACAGTTGACTGTAATTTCAAGAAGAAAATATTTTCCCTCCTCTCAAGTACCTTTACATTTCAGGCTCCAAAAATTTAAAATCCAGTAAGTACTGATCCCAAGTCAGAGCTAGAAATGTGGCACTACCTGGGTATCACTTTGTCTGTTCCCATGTTTTAAACAACATTTAAAAGTACACAAACATTTCAGTGACTGTAAAAAGCCACACAGCATCCAGAAAGCATTGCTGGAAAAATGTGGATGCTACCTATTTGTAACACTGTGGTTTATAGATAATGACTTTGTTAAAAACAAACCTCTGCTGCTATTCAGCTCTTTGCCAACAGCCTGATATTAACTAAAAGTAACCTCAGAGCAAACAATTTTCTCTAAAACTTCTTGCAGTGCAAAATCACAGATTTTTTTTGCTGAATCAAGCTCCAAACTGATCCTCATCTAACAACCCTGTTACACGCTGACAGTTTTGAAGAACAATTTATCACTCGTCCAAGTATTAGGTCAATTAGGTCTTTAGTGCTCAACTGCAATTATGGTACAAAAATAACTAATGGTACCTTCGTCATCTTCTTCAGAAACCTTCCGAATCTCCGGTCCCTCTGATGACTCCTGGGTCATGCTTAGCATCCTCTCTTTACCCTTTTTGTATTTTTGCTGCCTGGCTTTGATGCGATCCATTCTAGCAAAAGGAAGAAACTTATTAGATTCACACCTTCACCTTATTTAACCCACCCTGAAAAAACAAGTGTCAAACACATCTGTACAGACACACTCCAACATCTCTAAAGAAAATATCCGTTCCACATTGTTATTAACCTTGCCCTTAAACATAAGGAGTTAAATGGCTCTGAAGGGGCTGCCTGGAAGGGTCAAGCCCCTAGTCACTGAGGGCTGGGTTGCCTGCTCTCACATGACTGTTTTTCTTATGCTCAACTATCTTATTATCATTTAAAAATTAAAGAATTGCTGTCAGGAGCTACAACACAGCAAATGAAGCTCTGAGAAAAAAGGACTTCTGCCTAATGCAGTGGTTTTCATGAAACTTGCCACTCTGAACCAGGGATGTGGCTGTTCCTGCACTATTTCTGCTACATCTTCACCCCTTAAGCTCTCATTTGTCCCACATATGTGGAAATACATACAACTGGTTCAGCTTTGGCCAGATGCAGGCAAGCCTTCAACTCTCTTGCTATCCTGTAAAGTTAGCACAATCTGATAGTTTAAGACTTCTATGTTTTCACAGTTTGAAAAACGGTAGTAAAAAAATTGAAATCAACAGGAATAAGTTCTTTCAACACAACTGGATTAGAAGCAAATGATTCACTGATTTCAGTGATCAAAATGCACTTAGACATTTTTAAACTGTCCATTTGTTAGGGAAGGGCCACCCACTAGAGAGGGAAACTCTTTCATCTCAGCTAGTTGCTATTATTTAGCAGACGATTAGATTTATTTCCCTATCATTCATCTGGTGCTGAAGTTACGCTGTGTCAGTCAGGACAACTTGGTTGTTCAAAACTTCTGGCCGTGCTGATGGTTCTTTTCATCCTAACCATCCTAAACCGTATGAAGTATTGATGCACATTATTGAATGAAATAAAATAAGCACTTTCTATTGTTGAAGTGAGACATCCTGCAAATATAAACTAGTAATTTTTAGAGAAACATAGATCAGCTTTGGCGTTATTGCAAGCAGTATCATCTCCTTGATCTTAAACTCTGCAGAATTAACAGAAAAGAATGATTTCCAGGACAGGCACATCCTGTCAATTGGGATAAGACTGATTCAAGCGCAGAGCAGCACCAGCAACAGCCCAATACATCATCTGGTGGGAAACTCCAGGCATGCAGGTAGGGAGCATGGTCCCTGCAGCCTTTTGATGCTTCTTCAGTTATGCAGGTGTGGAAGAAGCTGTCTGGAGTGGACTTTGACATCTGGTTAGGAAGCAGTTACGGCTTTTCATGCATTGTGGTGGAGGAGCTTTGAAAGCTTTTTGCATTTATTAAAGTGTGCTAGCTGCACCCGGTAGGAAGCAGAGTGGCTTTATTGGCTGTATAAAGAGAAAGGATCTCCAGGCCAGTTAAGCTGAATGCGAATATTTTCAGGGAAGATTAACATATTCATTTTGCACTCAAACACTAGAGGAGGAACCACAAATGAAACGGAAGCAACAGGCATCCAGCAAATTTTACCAGGAATACAGATATACAGAATAAAATCCCCATAATGGTAAAGTCAATGAGAACATTGTCATCCACTGGAGCAGGGCCAGGACGTTATTCAACATGCGGCTTCTTAGCCCATAGTGATTTCAGGCTATTTAGGTGGCTCTTAACTACAGCTTCCCTAACGAGGCCCCTTGCTGTTCCAGTTTCTGTTTTTGTTTTAACCCAGTTCCTGTGTCTCAGTCTCCTGTCTTCTAACCATCTAGGCTTGCACTCTCAAGTGAGACACAGTTAATGTGGCACTTCTGATTAGTAATCTGCCTACACCTTCCATGAGTTTCATAGGGGATTTACATTTGACTGTCCTACTCTTCTGAGAGATGGGGAGATACAAATTGAGAGAACAGCAGGATAATTAGTGGAAGAAAGATTTTTCCCCCATATTTCATCTGCATGGCATGCATTCATACTGTACAAACTAGGACAACCCAAAACTACAATTGAGCTATACCTCAAATGGAGAAAAAATACAGCACAGATACAGATCATCTCTTAAAGAGAAGACTATACAGTCATGTTGTTATGATATTCGGGTGTGGAACAGTTAAAACTTGATCTTAACCTGTCATCACTGGATTTCTATGGTTTAGAAGAACCTTCTGAATTAAGCAGGAGGGTTCACACTCTCTTCATTTATAGGAAACTTCTGTTTCCATTAAAATTTCAGGCTCACTGAGGAGCAGGTAAGTCAGTACATTCCACTCTGATTCTTTATATTAACCTCACAACCTTTGGTCCTAGAAATGTGATTCTATGTTTAAATGAATGTTTAGATTCTGCAGCATGCTGTCTTTTTGGAAAAGATGACTCTAAAACTATGTAATATTGAAATACCTAAGATCTCTGAATGCCAAGAGAGCAAGTTTTGTAATTGCAAAATCATACTTCAAAACCTAATCAGCATTTCTATAAAAAAGTGAAAAAAGGTAAAAACCAACAATCAGTGAAATACATGCATATGTATGTATATTTATATATTAAAAAATACATTAAATACATACTGTCTTTTCAGTTGATCCATTGACTTTTTTTCCTCTTCAATTCTCGCCTTTACAGCCTTGACAATTGTAGCCTGGAAAAGCTCAGCACCCCTGCAGCAGAAATGGGGGCAGAAGAAAGGAAAAAGGAGAGGAAACAGTAAATGTTTCTAAGTTTCCCTTATGCTAGCTAATCCCAGACAACTCTGTGTTCCCTTGGTACACGACCTCATCGGCATAAAACAAAACTAATCCAAGGCCTGAAAGAAATAATCAATTACTCCAGGATACTAATCTGTTTACAGTCAATCATTTCAAGATTTGGAGTCAAACACTGTGATCCCTACTCAGCCTATAAGTTCGCCTAGCAGCTGTTCAAGGAATTCAGTTTCCAGCCCTCAAGGACACAGAACATGGTTGGGTTCAAGGCTGAGTTAGGACTTCTTGCACACCTCCAGGATTTGGTCTTTATAGTCTTTTCAGCACTATAATCACCTTGTCCCTCTGCTTTCACCCCCTGGAAGGCATCAGCAAAGTCCAGCTTTATCCAGGGCCATGATGAGCATAGATTCAGCTTCACTTTTATGCTCTGAACACTACAGCACTTTCAATCTCATGACAGAAATCCTGGAGCAAGTTTCTGGTGTGGCAAAAGAATATGGCTTCTAACTATATTTCATTAGAAATATAATCGACTCATTGACTTGGATGTCCAGAGCACATGTCTTGCCCATTCTTCATTATTCAATCATCAGATCTTGAAGACTCTCAAAGAGCCTCAAAGTCTCTCTCAAAGAAGTAGCATAGATATAAAGCCTTTCTTTTATCAGGCATTCAGTAAGAACAGCTATAGTTTCAGAAGTCTACTTCTAATTCATTTTTCAGCCATGTTTTCTGTGAGAGTAATCATTCTTCCATGTAATATGCAGGATAACCTCAACTACATTTTTTCAAAGGAATACAATAAAGACTGGCCATCAGTATTGTCCCAAAGCATGGTAAAGTACAATAAAAAAAGGACTTGTTCTACTTAGCACCTCGATCACTCCTAAATTCTTATGGACTATTTAAAATTGTTGCTGGATCCTCATTGCTATTGTCTGAATCATAATTTAATCTTATTTAGCTGAGGCATTCATATTTCACAATACTAAATTTAACTAGAAGACAGGTTCACCCCATGCTGTCTGAATCCTAACCTGATCTTCTCCATTGTCCATGTAAATTCAAAGCTTGGATTTTAGTAAGCCAAGCAGCTAACTAAAAAAATTAATTATATCATTATATTACCCTCCTTCCTATAATATGTTGGCACTTCCTGGTCATTAATACATTTATCTTTACCACAGCTCCTGACATAGGCCAGTATGTCTCCACTTCTGCTGCTGGAGAACTCAAGCATTGGTAGGTTCACTAACTTACCAAAAGCTTACACAAAGCTGGAAGTAGGAACCAAACATGTTTCTTTCAACCCAGCCCAGTGCCATGAGCCTGCTCGTCCCTTCTGGATGCAAACTTTCCAATTTAGGAGGCATTTTGATACTCATGATTTTACTTTGTGTTATTTCCACTGTGAACACAGTATACAAAAAAGGCTACAAAAAGGTGGTACCCAGCAATCCTGAGCATCAGCAGTGAAATTCACCCCAGAGCAAAAGTCTGAGAGAGGCAATATGGGATGGAAGTATAGATCTTTTGGTAGTCCTCTTTACAGTGGTGAATCTTGTTCAGTATGGGCAGCTAAACATGTCCCCTTTTTAAAGTAATCCCTGGAGGGGGACGAAGAGGAAGATGCTTCCTTTCAAGACACGCAAGCCAAATTCTGCCCTCAAACACAGACCGAAATCAATGTCCATATGTTTTTCAGGAAACAAAAAAAAAATGCCACGATACATTTAATCCAATATTGACAAAAGCAATACCTTAGAAATCTTACTGAAATTGAAAACAGAACTTCATTTGTGATCGTCTTTCTTATTAAAAAACAGAAGAATGGTTGTGCTAGTGATTGTAGAATCATCATAGCATCTTTGGGTTGGAAGGGACCTTTAGCTATGAGTGGATGCTGTGGGAAAGTACAAGTAACAGGCCCAAAGAGGGCGATACTTCCTTGCCACACCTAGTCAGTGTTCCATGATGTGACACTTCCCTAGTGTCTTCTCAGTGGTCTTCCCCAGCCAGATGTCGTAACTTTCCTGTAGTTTTCCTCATGTTACATTTTTGGAGTCATGATTTCTAAGGCCCATTGTCTCAAGCAGGCTCTGATAGCAGAGTATTTTCTTTCCAAGGATTAGAAACTCTGGCTTTCGCTTTCATACATATTGATGTTAAGAGAATGCTGCAAGACATCAGCTTTCACAGCTTTAGTAGGGGCTATGAGAGCAGCAGATGGTGTTTGGTATGAAAAATAGTTTAATTTCTATCAGATTCTCCATTAATTTGTTTTCTCATGCGTGCTTTGTCAGAGTTGGGTTTTCAATTATGAATTTAGCATGGATTGTTTAAACCAATGTTAAAGGACTCTTTTGGTACTATCTATCATAAACAAATAAGTACCATATCCATGAGAGAGTTGAGCTGTTTCATTTAATTTTTTAAAACTTTATGTTACCTTGATGCTAGGATCTGAGAAGCTTTTATATCTGCAACCACATGCAGGAAGTAGTAACTCATGAAGACTCTTCTTTGCAGCAGCAGGAAAGCAAAACATATACTGTCCCAAATGATTCCTGCTTCTCCACTGGGCAGTTTACAATCTAGATTGTTGGTTGCTGGAAAAAGACACCATCAGCATAACAACTTTTATGTATTCTTTTATAATGTTTAATAAATTAAACAACCTTAGCCTTTAAAATTATTTGAATTGAGGTAATTTGGTTAGATTTTTTTTAAGAACACTGACATGCATTTCCATTTGAAGTACACCATATTTTCTTCCACAGCAAACTGGAAAGCTTCCAACAATATGATGTCCCATGAAAACAGGGAATTCACCAAAAGTGTACCATCTGCAAGCAAATTCACACTATCCTAATAAGTTCTTGAAAACAAAACCCAAGAAAAAAGTTCTTTTTGTTAGCCTGAAATATTTGATTTCAGTATTTTCTGAAATAGCATGTTTCAATGTTTGTTTTCATTTCAAAATGACTTTTTGTCTCATTTTCTGTTAAGAACACTATAAACATGAGAAAGAAATGTTTATTTGTCAAAATAATCTTTTGACTGCCACCACCTAATAGTTTTATTTTTCCTCTCCACAACTCAGTTCAATGTTTCTTTCCATTGCATAAGAAAAAAAATATTTGAAACCATAAAACTGCTTCCTTTGGGGTAGGCAGAGCAAGCAGAGAGGAAATCCCACCCTCCCCTCCCTCCCTTCCTTCCTTCCTTCCTTCCTTCCTTCCTTCCTTCGTCTTCCTTCCTTCCTTCCTCTCTTTCTCTTTCTTTCTCTCTCTCTCTTTCTCCCTTTCTTTTTCTCTTTCTTTCTCTCTTTCTTTCTTTCTTTCTTCTCTAAAAGACAGTTCTGGGATATTAAAAAATTAAAACTGGCTTTTGTGGAGCTAGACTATAAACTAAATGGCCTATGCTGCCCTATAGAAGGGAGTAGAAGGACTGAAGGGACAGACTCTGGTTTGAAGATGGCTTTACAATCAAGCAAGCCAGTCTAACAGGTCTGGAAGGTCAAGCTCCAAGAGCTTCAAAGCTTGCTGTGCCTGTCCCCTGGGGAGTCAGAAACCTGCTTTTAAGTTTCTGTTGCTGCGCAAAATGTTTTGGATAATACAAGAACTACTGGGCACCATTCATCTTGTGACTTTGCATCTTCATATTTCCTTTCATTTCCCCTATTCCCCACTTATCTATTAGGATCAGAAATGAAGAGGGGAATTCAGAACTTTTCTGCAGACTCACTAGGATGGAACAGTTCTTTCAATCCAGCAAGATACACTGAAAAAAATCAGGTGTTTTCAAACCGTCTATCCAGGGTGTCAGGACAAAGTGGAGCCAAAGTAATAGCACACTGAGAGGTGAAGTGTCTTGCTCTCCATGCTTCATTCCTCCCTTATCTCACCTCCATCCACATACACTATATACTCCCTCCCTGTTAACACCACAAACACGATAATAATAATAAAAAACCCCTGCCTAAACTTATGACGTCTGCAAAATATTACCACTTTTATGCTGGCTTAGCCTCGTGCCATTTCAGTGGGCTGAACTGGTTTGCCCTTTGAGCAACGGAACGCAAGAGCTGGCACGCAGGGAGGAGTGGGAGACTGCAGCTGGGAAAAGGTGCTCTCTCCTTGCAGTGACAGGAGCTGACATTTTAGCTCAAGTTGTAGAGTGAAACCGAACCCTCAAGTATCACATCACCTGCATATACAGGGAAACTGTGTTAAGGGCTGGTATCACCAAATGGTTCATTTACAGCAAACACTAGTTGCGGGTATGAGTGTGTGGGTGTTGATAGTTCTCTCAGCGTATGTATCTCCTTTGGGTCTATGAAATATTTTCAATATTCTTTCTTGCTGTTCAATATAGGACTAAGGTGTACCAGCTGAACTTGCAGGTATGATATTTTCACAAGGTAATATGTCAAGAGGGAGCCCAACTTAAATAGGGTAGCAGATTTGAAGGTGATTCTTTATTTATAGAAAATTATGAAGAAAAATGTACTATACTTACGAATACGGTAGCCTTTAACTGTACAAGCCAGGCTAAATGCCTGAATCAACCAGCAGCTATTCTTAATTAATGATTCAATGTAGCCACATGCTCCTATCTGGAAAGAAAAATGACAGTTTCATACACCAAAACATAGAAGAAATAAAGATAAGAAAAATATTGCACCTCTTTACATTGCAAGAAAATATTGTGACTGTCATTGGCTGTATTATATCTCATTAGTAAAACAGAGATTAGAAGAAAGAGTGTCTTTACCAGTGACACATACCACTTTTAAATAGCAAGAATTTGCTCTTTTGATTATCAGTGAGATAGGAGGTATGTGGCTTTTGTTTGTGTGTTTGCAGAGGACGTAATACCTCTGGCACATGATGCAATGTGACAGCAAAGCAACATTTATAAATCAGTGACTTAATCTTGCAAACATACATGGACAAGCTTAATGCATGCGTACCTCCACTGAATTCTCAAGCATAAAATGAAGCACATATGTAAGCATTTAGAACATTTGCAAATTCAAACCACCCATAAATCAATTTTACTTCAGTACAGTGACTTATATAAATGTAAAAAGAAAAATGTCTGCTCTTTTTAGTCTAACACTAAAAATGTTCAAAGCTAAAGAGCAATTGCCAGGCATAAATCTAAATTTATCTTTCAAAAAGATTTAAACTACTGGCTTGTCTCAATCACCTATCAGTGCCACTGCAATAATTCACTCTAAAGACTTTAATGTAAGAAAAACTTTAATATTTTTCAGAAGATGTTGACATTTAATTGTCAAATATATCTGTTTTCACCTGAATTTCACACTAGTTCTAAAGGAAATAGGAATGCAGTTTGTAATTTTGTAGTCAACTTCACTAATTACATCACATGACAACTGCATCTAGTACTAGACCTGAAAATTCCAGTTTTAGGTTTAATTAAATGTGCACTATTTAGCAACAGTATGACTAATCTTGCACTTCTTACTCCTTTTTCTCATTCCACTGAGATTTTCACAAGACTTAGAATCATAGAATACTTTGGGTTGGAAGGGACCTTTAAGGGCCATCTAGCCCAACCATCCTGCAGTGAGCAGGGACATCTTCAAGTAGATCAGGTTGCTCAGAGCCCTGTCCAACCTGGCCTTGAATGTTTCCAGGGATGGGGCATCTACCACCTCTCTGGGCAACCTGTGCCAGGGTTTCACCACCCTCATTGTCAAAAATTTCTTCCTTAGATCTAGTCTAAATCTACCCTCTTTTAGTTTAAAGCCATTACCCCTTGTCCTATTGCAACAGGCCCTGCTAAAAAGTCTGTCCCCATATTTCTTAGAAGCCCCCTTTAGGTACTGGAAGGTTGCAATAAGGCCTCCCTGGAGCCTTCTCTTCTCCAGGCTGTACAACCCCAACTCTCTCAGCCTGACCTCACAGGAGAGGTGTTCCATCCCTCTGGTCATTTTTGTGTCCCTCCTCTGAGCCCTCTCCAACAGGTCCATGTCTTTCCTATGCTGAGGGCTCCAGAGCTGGACACAGGACTCCAGGTGGGGTCTCACCAGAGCAGAGCAGAGGGGCAGAATCTCCTCCCTCGACCTGCTGGCCACGCTGCTTTGGGTGCAGCCCAGGATACGGTTGTCCTTCTGGGCTGTGAGCACACATTGCTGGCTCATGTCCAGCTTTTCATCCACCAGTACCCCCAAGTCCTTCTCAGCAGGGCTGCTCTCATTCCCTTCATTGCCCAGCCTGTCTTTATACCAGGGGTTGCGCCGACCCAGGTGCAGGACCCTGCACTTGGCCTTGTTGAACCTCATAAGGTTCACATGGGCCCATTCCTCGAGCTTGAAATTATCTCGAACTTCTAAGGAAAGACTTTACCAGGCAAAGAAACCAGAACCTGTCCCTTTCAAAATAGCTTGTGAGCTTTCACACAGCCTGGCTGAATACAAGGGTGCACGTTTTCCTATAGTGTATGGATATTCCTGGATATGCACTTGCAGTTTCTGAATTAAAGTGGAGCCTGCTTTGCGCTTGCAGAAGGCTATGGTCCTGAGAAAGGGTTTTTAATGACGACTCAATGCACTGTGCACACTTCCAGTGAAGCCAAAGTGCTGAGGGCAGGGCAAAGGCAGCAGCTACTTACTGAAAGGATGTTCTTCATTGTGATCACGAAGACGTTGTAGGCAATCAGCCAGTCCCAGTAGCGTAGAATGCTCCTGATGGGCTTCAGCAACAGATCTCCACCAAAGAGGAGGAAATAAAAACAGGCTACCAAGTAGCCCATGCAGAATATGCTGATCCTTGTGGTTCCCGTTATGAAGATTATAGTAAGCACAAACCAGAAGAGGTAACTAAATATTATCACCTTATACATGTCTAAGTAGGACCTGGAAGTAAAAGATGGAGAAAAAGTTACCATTTTCTGAGGGCAGTACTACCTTTCCTCTGTCTGTGTTACTGGCCAACACTTGTGCTAAGGTCTGCTGAGCGTTCTCATCCCGCTTCAGCATTTGGGCACCTGCTTAAGACTAACACCACGGTCAGTGGATGTAGCCCATTCATGGGTCTGTGTGGCTCATATACCCAATTCTAGCTCGTTCATGTACATAAGAACCTTGTACACCCTGTCAAGGCACTTTGCATCACACCGGATCAAGCCTTGTATCATGAAAGGGGGAAAAACATGTTCTCACCAAATGTCATGATAGAGGGATATTATCTGGCAATGCTATATATGCAATTTTAAAGCTATCTGTGATAATCTTTTAAGAAGTCTGAGCAATACTATAGCAAATCTATCTTCAAAAGCCAGCTACAATACTCCACTGCAAACAATTCTGTATTTATTGATGACTACTAGGGAATACAGTCTGGTTAAAAGCCTAGCTTTCAAAGACAGCTGCTAAAAATATCTTTCTCCAATGGAGATCAACTGTAAAAGTTTAAAGGGGTAAAAAGTTTCTATAGAATGTAAATGTGATAGAATTTACTGAAATGTTTGCCAGGAAAGCTACGAGACAGACCTATCTGGAATCAGCCTGGCCCACAGTGGGAAAGAGTGAGAAACAATTTGGTATTTTCAGATTCCTTAAAATCTTGACTTAATATTGACTCAGTGAGCTTTCAAATAAGAACATCTGCCAAAGGTAATACCGAATACTACATATAGCTAAACACTGCAAAACCAACTAATTCTTAGTTTCCTCCCATTTAGTGTTCTGATTCCAGATGTAACTGTGTTTTCAGGGTCCATTCACCCAGGCTATGAAACTACATTTGTCAGGAAACCAGGCAAGGAGACAGCACTATTAGGAGTACTCACATACCTAAGCCAAACCATGTAAGGAGTAAATTAACTAAATGCTCTGTATGAAGCCACATAAAAAGGCTCCTGCTGCTTGATGTTCTCAGGCTCAGAACTTTCTAAGAGTATGTATTTATAGTCCTACATTTACAGGTCTGTATTATACATTTCACTTGCCGAAGCCAACCAGAGAGGAATTCAACGAAAGGTAATGAGAAAGAACCTTTATGTTTATTTCCCACAAACATTTAAGAAATTTATGGACTACTGCCTGTGAAATTTAAAAATATTATGACTTTAGAGATGCTACTGGGTTTTGGGTGACAAAACATTAACAAAGAATCTATACACACTGGGAAAATAAAGAAGTGGAAGACTTCAGTTGAACAGGTCCTCGCTAACTTAAGATGAACTGGAAATGGTGCTCTCACTGTTTCTCCAGAAAAAACAACATAATATTTGATGTTCCTTTAATAATAACTCTTGATGTGTGGGATGGCTAGGAAGAGATCACTTCCTGACACTGCTCTAACAATTGCAATGTTTCAAAAATCTTGTCCTCTGCTACCAACAAAAGGCATCAGCATATTTTGAGAAAAGTCCAAAATGGAACTGAACTGATCAAATAAACAAGAAAATCTTAATACTCTTCAATAAAAAAGGACTGACTCTTAAAAACAACTGGAGCTGGCTGGATCCAAACTTTCCAACATATAAAGACAGTTGAGTCATAGTCCAACAGCAGATAACACTCTCATATTAAAACTTCCAGAAATTAGAGAATATGAAAAGGAATACAATAATTTAACTATTTTTTCACTATAATGTTAACCATTTGCTACATTTAAGCAGTCTTCGAAAATATTAAATACTCATTTTCAAAATATACGTTAAGTATATTAGCATTGGACATCTCTAAACCGAACAAACAACTATACAGGATATATAGAAAGCATCTCAAAAGGCAGGATGCAATACAACTGTGTCAAGTGACAAATGATGTAGTTCTTAGAGATGGAAATCTTTCTGATTTTTAAAAATATAGATTTATAAGCAAGCCCAACCATAAAAATCGTTCCCAAGAATTCACCTTGGAGTGGACATTTAACAAAATGGTGGTTAAACAAGTCATCCAGGGCATGCCTAACCAATTAATATCATCAACCATCCCAGGTACCTCTGTGCAGGCCCAAGAACAATGACACATTGAACACAATGGACAGAACTACAATTGAGTAGTCCCAGTTGATGAAAATATTCCTGAAATCACACTTCGTTGTAATATGCCAAAACTCCTTCTCAGTTGCAGTGTGGAGTCATGCATCCCCCTAATTTTCATTAATTGTTTTTAGTAATATAGGTAGGTCAAGTGCTGTAAGAGCAGGCACGAAGATGCGTCTTGGTGGGGGAGTTCTCAACATATTGCCTCTCAAATCACTTGACACATTCTCAGATGCAAGTCTTTAAATTCTGCTTCAAACCTCAGAAAGTTAGGAAGTGAGGAGTTTCTGTTCCTTGCTCTAGAGATTATAATGCAACAGTGGGAGACAGCTAAAAAGAACAGCTAAACAGCTAAAAAGACAGCTAAAAAGAACCTACACAAACCCAGAAGGTCAGTAAGGGTGTTTAGCCGCTGTTTGAAAACTTCTTCATAGACAGCAGAAAATGCTTAGTCTTGGATAGCATATACCATAATTTTATGCTTTCACTGCAGACCACACAGATCATTAGTGTAAACCTTCCAAACCTCATCTTCTAAGTGGTCTTTAAATCTACATCCAGTCACAGAGAGGAGAGGCCACCCTCAGGATGCGGTATTTCACAATACACCTAGGAAGCCTAAGCAGCTGCTTCCCAAGGGGACAGTCCCACGCCCGTTCATCTCCTCAGCTCTGTGTTTCAGCCCCTTCTTTGGCTTTGGCTCTTTGAATTAGTTTCAAGAAGCAAATTTGCAAAAGCCTATTTATTTTGAGGGGAGGACAAAAGGAAAGCATAGTTTTCTGCCCATTCAGCCTATGAACCAACTCACTGCTGGCGTGATGAATGCAAAGGTGGGAGTGTGTAGCTGGGGGCCAAGAATACAGCCACATATCTGAGGAAGACCAGCCACTTACACTAGCGCACCAAGAGCATCAAACTGTGGCTTTTCGTAGCATGATAACCTCTGAATGAGAAATAAAACTGAAGAAACCTGAAAGATGAATGAAAAATAAAAAATGTTGATTTGCCAACTGTGCCATTAGCAGAACCCACTGATACTCTGGATAACGGTTTGGAAAATTTTGCCATACCACTGTGTTCAAAACCAAGGAAGACAAAGTCTGACATTCATTCCACCCATCCATCAAAGCTATTGTAACCTCAGATGGCTCTCCATATCAAATGATCTGCTTTGCTTTACTAAAGCTTTTTAGTCTTATAATGATTGCTTCAACATTTTATTTCCACAGGAATTAATTTTTAACTGTAATACAACCCAGCCTGTTGCAAAAAGATCTAGTTGTTTTGCCAGCGTGCTCAGTGACGTGTTTGGCTGTAGCCTGTCTAGTGCCCGGCGCTCTGCCTGCAGGCACAGAGAGGTGCTGATAACCCCTTTGAGGAAAGGTGTTTCTCCTCAGCCAGTGCTTTGAAGTTTAGGGAAA